ATGTGCTGTTCCAGTTGCTTTTAATAATAAATATTTAGTATTAAACACACTTTGAAGCTGAAGTGTATTTTTTATGTCTAATGTTTCAAATCAGTTCTCAAAGTGGCACTATTACCTATTTTTACTACTAAATAACTAGAAAAAATGTGATTTGAAGAATTAATAACTTTTAAAAAATTTAAAAAAGAATTAATAACTTTACTAGAGTAACAGCTATAGGGAGAAATACAGAATTTAAACTCAGAGCTATTGGACAACAGAAACTAGACTTCAAGTGTTATACTGTAAAGGTTTCCTTAAAAAGCCAATTTAAAAAACCAGAACAAACAACGAACAAACAAGAAACCAGAGAACATTTTTTCTTGAAGGGAAGTAGGAAATTATTCTTTAAAAGTATAACTAAAGTTGTTGTTATGTACTATCAAATCACCTGAGACTAATAGTGACCTTATGTACTGTAGCTCTGAGCACTGTCAATCCTGAGCCAATCTTATTGTCTCCGACACATTTACCTCCATTGCTCCAGTTACTGAACAATGCATCTCATCCGGGTTTATTTTTCTCTCCTATGCTGTCCACGTGCTGTACAGAGGTAACTTGTGGTTGCTGTGAGATTGAACACTGTGACACTGATGTGGCAAATGTGTTAATGGTTACCCATGATGGACAGTGTTTGGTGGAGCTCCCCAATTAAAACAAGCTTGGAAGCAGGAGTGGCATCCACTTCCGTAAAAGTTTGCCTCCGGAAACCCTATGAACCTGGAGAAACGATGAAAGTTATACAGGTGTCCAGGTCTTTCGTTCATGAGTCTTTCATTCATGAGTCACCTACGACTCAACGGCACTTAACAACAAGAACAACATCATGCTGTCCTTCTACCCTTCCAAGCATGCTGTCCATCTTCAAGGACTTGTCCCTCCTGGCTACAGGCCCAAAGTATGTGAGACAGAGCTTCAAAATCATTGCCTCCAAAGAGAGGTTTATTTTTTGTTATGATAATATACACAGAATATATTTTCTTTCACAGCATTTTTTGATACAAGCTAAAGTTTAATTTTGGTTTTACAATTGAAAATAAAACTGATAGAACTGATATATATGGTAAATATTTTCTGCTTGGAGTGACAGCTTAAAAAATTCAGAAATGTAGAACTGTTTGAAATTTCCCAGTTAGTTTTTTACTAAGTGTATTAACATATCTCAGTAAAAATTTGATATATTATAAACATAATTATCCAGGTTAATTTGAGGTTAGCAAGTGTATACATTTCATTGTGACTTATCAAAAGGCCTGCAATTTATACTGTTTTAGGTTTATGAAGAATAAGAATTCCAGAACACAACTGTGCTCATGTGGCACCTGTATTACACCAAAAGACAGTAGTTCAAACAGAATAAAGTAATATGCATAGTTTAAAATTAAGTAAGGTGTGCATATCTGTTGTATCCTTTCTCCATATCTTTTCAATCTGTATGTTGTTGTTGTTGTTATATACGGCCGCGTCACCTATGACTCATAGCGACCCCATGTACAACAAACAGCCCTAAACCCTGCTCTATCCTGTGCCAATCTTTATTTTCTCTGATACACCTACCCCTCATTAACCCAGTCACTGAATCAATCCATCTCATCGAGAGTCTTCCTCTCCTGTTCTGTCCCTCCACCTCCCAAACATGACATCCCTCTCCCAGGACTGAACCCGCCTTGCAATATGTCCACAGTATGTCTGATGAAGCTTCAGAATACTTGCCTCCAAGGAGCTGTCTGGTTTCACCCTCTGCTGTACGAACTTTTTCGTTCTCTTAGGAGGCTATGGTGCATTCAATACTCTTCTCCAGCACCAAAGCTCAAAGGCATCAATTGTCCTTCTGTCCTCCCTAGTCATTGTCCAGGTCTCTGATGCATAGAAAGTAATTGCAAAGACCATGGCCTGTATCATGCGCACTTTAGTCTCCAGAGTGACATCATTGCTCTTCAGTACTTTGGAGAGGTCTCTGACAGAAGACTTTTCCAATGCACTACATCTTTTAATTTCCTGATTGCTGGTACCAAGAGGGTTGATTGTAGAGCCAAGCAAACAGAAGCTGTTAACAATTTCAATCTCTTCATCATCATCTATCATGATGCTGCCAAGCATACCAGTGGTGAGAATCGTTAATTTCTTGATGTTGAGCTTCAATCCATATTGAGGGCTGCAGTCCTTGACCTTTTGCAGCAAACACTATAGGTCCTCCTCAGTTCCAGGAAGCAGGGCTATGTCATCTGCATAATGCAGATTGTTGATGAGTCTACTTCCAATCCTGATGCCACACTTCTCCTCATAGAGCCCAGCCTTCCGGACAATCTGTTCCACATACAGATTAAAAAGATATGGAGATAGCACACATACTGAACAAATAATCAGAGAAGATTTATGAAGATGAATGGAGAAAACTCATCAACAGCCTGAAACAGGCAGATGACACAATCTAGTTACTGAAAGTGAAGAGAACTTAAAGCACTTACTGAAGATCAAAGGCTAACAGTCTTCAGTATGAATTACATATTAACATCATGAAAACAAAAATTCTTACAATTGGGCCAATCGGCAACATGATGATACAATGAAGAAACGGTTGAAGTCATCAAGGAATTTGTTTCGTTTTCATTGTAGCAGCAATCAAGAAACCAAAAGACATGCTACCTTGGGGAAAATTTGCTGTCAAGGATCTCTTGAAAGGTGTAAGAGCAACAATGTCAGTTTAAATATTAAAGTGTGCCTGACTCAGGCCAGGGTATTGTCAGTTGTTTCATATGCATCTGAAAGTCAGACCGTGACTAAAGGAAAGGAAAGAAGAATTGATGCCTTTGAGTTGTGTTGTTGGTGAAGAATATGATATCATATGGACTACCAACCCGTCCACCCTCCAAACATCTATGATGGAGGAAGTGCAGCCAGAGTGAAAGGTGAGTGAAGCTTCATTTCATGTCTTTTGGGCATGTTTCTAGGAGATACCAGTTGTTAGAAAAAGGCATCCTACTGGGAAAACTAGAGAGTCAGAGATAAAGAGGCCTAGCAAAGAGATGGATTGACAAAGTGGTTGCAACAATGAGTTTGAACATGGTGGAGACTGTAAGGGTGGCACAGGACAGGGCAAGGTTCTAATCTTTTGTGTTCTTATGGTTGTTATTATGAATTGTAGTTGACTTCACAACACCTAATTACTACAACAGCAAAACCAACCAACCAAGTATACTGTATTCATTGTTGTCAAGACAGCATCAACTCATAGCTGATCCTGCAATGGGTTTTCTGTGTCACTAAATCTAGTGAGGGGTGATTGTCCAACTTTGTCTTATTTAACAGTTCACATAAAAAAGCCCAAAGTTTGAGTTTCATCTGTGTCTAACTTATACTAATTTAAGCCTTGGCTCTCCTGATGTTTGGTTTCATTCACAGGTGCTATATTACACACTCACAAGTCCCTGGCAGAATAGCTTCAGGGGAAATATGCTGTCGTGATAATGTCCACTGAAGAAAAATCAAGCATGTATCTCATTTTTCTTTTCACAAGATGACTGTAACTTTTTCAAGGGTGATCCAGCAATGATCTCTCACATCTCATTGGCTAAAACTGCATCACATATGCCTTCAGAAAAAATGTTCCTGGCAAAGCAAATGTGACCACTATAATTAATTTAGGATAATTAGGAGTATACCCTTGATCTGAGTTTGTGCTGAAAACAAAATAAAACAAACAATTCCCCCCCACCCCAGTCAAATAAAACCCAAACCCCCTCCTATGCATTGCAGTCCCGTAGGAAACAACTCATAGCAGAGCCTGCATTGGGGTTCCAGGGTAAGTCACAGGAGAAGAGAATGTTATTCTTTCTCCCAAGGAGCTTCTGCTTGATTTGAAAAGCTAGAGAGGCACAGTCTTAGGGCTAGCAGTAAAATTCCCTTTTGACTAGAGCTCTTCTAAAGCACATAGCCACAAGAAGGGAGGAAAATCCTGAGATGGAATCAGTTTTATTGGAAAGAAGAAAGAGCAATGGCTACTGGGTAGCGAGCCAACAACATCTGTTATGGAATTGTGCTAAATGTAGCTGGGAAGGGCAGCGCTGTGGAGAACAAGTTGTCTTCCACAGTTCTTCTGAGGCTGAGTCTGTCTGGATGCTCTCTGACACTGGTATTTCTTCTCAAAATCATAGCTTTTCAGAAATTTGAGTTGAAAGGGCCTTTTTGAGACTCAGATTGCTAAATGTCTTTCCCAAAGTCACAAGATAATAAATTAATAACAAAGCAAAGGACAGGGCTTCTTGATTTACAGCACAGCGTGTTTTCTTTGACTTTTTATCTTTGAGATTTTAGAACTTCTGAAATTGCCTTTAAAACTCAAAGGCAAGCACTAGTCTCTTTTGTATTTAAAACGGCTTCGTAATACATGTATTTTATTTGTTCAGCCGCCTGGAGACAAAATCGAGTCTATCTCTCTGTGTTAAAAAGTCTGCTGAAGTCCCTATTCTGTTTTTATAGCATAGGATGAATCACTAGTGGGTTCCTCTTCACATTTGATACAAACTCCTCCCTCTTAACATCTCCTTCATTTGCTTCCCCATCTTCTTTTGTTCCATCTGTGACCAGTTTCCTGTTTCTAAATAGATTTTGTGGTCACCCTCTCTCTTTGGGATAGATCCTAGCCTCTCGTTACTTAGGCCGTGGTCTGTATTGTTTTTCCTAGTCAGCTGTGCTGTCCCACAACTCCACATTGTTATATGTCTCTAAATTGGGTTCTGGAATTGTTTTGGTAACTACTGCCTTGGGTGAGAGTCAAACTAATAATTAAAGGGCTGGAACAATTTCTTCTGTTACAAGTTCTCTCCTGTTTTTTTACAATCCGAGGGAAGCTGTTTTCTGTTTTTGCTGCATACAGTGTACTTATAACATGTAATTTATGATTTGCTACAAACATGAGTGCTTACGACTTGCTTTTTCTTTTTCTTCACTTCTAGGACAAGATGTTGATAAACATAAAAAGCATCTTATGGATGTTCTGTGCTTTAGTAGCAACTCATGCACTACATAAAGGTGAGTATGTGTAACAGTTACATTGGTGCTACTTGAAATCAAAAGTTGAAGACTTGAGCATAGAATGACAATGCTGCTTGATTGAGAATGAAATTTTTTTTAAAATATAATTAATGCTGAAAATTTTCTCCTGGCAATATAATTTGGCTAAAAATCATGTTTAAAATAAGAAAGCCAAAACAAAGTCGTAAACAACAGACATTTAAAGAAGTAAAGGGACTTTTAGTAATGCTCCACATTACTCTCCAATTGTTGAGCAAAGGCTCATAAATGACATTTGGAATATTCTTAAAATCCACCTTTTTTAATGCGACTTAAAGATTTTTCTAGTCACAAGAAAGATTATTTAACAGGTAAGAGAACTGTGACAACCAAGTTTTGGCTTGCCTTTTTCTTTTTTAAAGTAATTAAACTAAAAACTCACTGCAGTTGAATCTCAACCAACTCATAGTTGACTCTCCATTGGGTTTCCAAACTGGCCATCTTTCTGTCTTGTAGCTATTGGTGGATTGGAGCCACCAGAGTGGCATGGGCTTTAGAGTAACGTTGCAACTCCCTGCAGAGCTTCCCTTTGTATTATTTTCCCCCTGAGCTTTAGAGTTCATATTTACTTAATGAGCATTAATGTGTCAAATGTGTAAATGGTTACCCATGGCGGACAGTGTTTTGTGGAGCTCCCTCATCAAAACAAGCTTAGAAGCAGGAGTGGCATCCACTTCCATAATAGCTTGCCTCCGAAAACCCTATGGAACTGGAGAAAGCATGAAAGTCACACAAGTGTTGAGGACTTTCGTTCATAGGTTTGCTATTAGTCACTTATGACTCTACGGCACTTAACAACAACAACAATGAGTATTCTAGAATTCAAATTTTATTACTTAATGTATTGAAGGAACTATACATAAGAACTTTAATTAAGATCAAGTAGACAACACCAAGTTTTATTGTGTTGGCTTCTGCTTAGTATACCTCTCTAGACTCAGTTTTCACTTCTTCCCCATGCTCAGCCTATATCTCAGCTGTTCTGAAACAATTTCAGACATTTATTTTCATACTTCAATTTTCCACATGTAAAACTTCTTTCCTATTCTACAGTTCTGCTTCCATAACATATAACACTTAAGTAAGTCTGCCTGCCTGTCTGTCTATCTGTCTGTCTCTCTCTTTTTCTGTCCATCTGTTTATTTGCCATTACGAGCATTCTTTTGTGTTCCATGAGCCACAATGGACATACATTGTCCTAATTAATCTGTAATTTAATCTTTTACATTTTGGTAAACAAGCACTACACAAGTAAACGAACGAGGCAATTTCTGATTGATGGAAATAATAATGGAGCGACACCATCGAGAATGGGCTTGGCTATGGGGACGGCCGTTTTTAATTTTCTAGCAGAGTTCCTGGCACATTTCAGCACTTAATTATTTTATGTGTTGAGTTAATAAGTGAACTAGTAAGCAGGTAAGCAAATCATGGGTATCTGCATGAGCTTTTTAGATGGCTATTTGAGCATAAGTTCCACTTGTATGTTCATAGTCTTGGAGTTGTCCTCATGAACATAGTTAGATAATTAAGTACCCACATGTCAGAGAAAGAGAGGAAGACTCTCAATGAGATGGCTCGACATGATGGCTGCAGCATTGGGTTCGAGTTTGTCAAAGATGATGAGGAAGGCACAGGATAGACCAAGGGTCAGGTCTGCTGATCATAGATGGGGCTGCTGTGAGTCACACTACGGCACTTAACAATAACAACAACGATCACAGAGAGAAAAGGACAACAGCCTTCAATGCAGAGAGAGGGTATAGAAAAGATGTAGGAGTTAGTTGGGTAGGCAGTATTGGAAGGGAAATTACAGAAAAGTTTTTGGAAGATCCTTGAGGGAGAAAGTTGACATTCCTCCACTTTAAATACAGTTTCTAGACTTTCTACTTAAAACAAAGAAACAAGTCATAAAATCAGTGGCAAGTGGAATACTTATGTGGTAGTTCCTTGACAGTATTCTAATACAGAATAATTGACAGCGTGCAGTAATCTGAAGTGAACATTACTAATCTCATTGTCTGGAACAATGACAAGAAAGAAAAACAGAGATGGACTGTTGAAACAATTAGTCCAAAAGACTAATGATACCTCAAACTTCAACCTCCATGACCCGAAAACCAGGAGAACTAGATGGTTCCCGGCTCTTCCTGATGACCATTCTAGAAGGGATCACAATAGATTTGGAAAGCTGTGAATAAAATGGGGGGAAATCCCAAGCCAAATCAACAACATAAAAAAGGCCAAGATTATTGGTTCAGTAGAAACTAGGAGAAACCTTGAGACTGTGGTCTTTAGTCAACCTTCAAATCTAGAGCAGAACTCACTGTAAGGTGGCCAGTAGCACCAGAGAGGCACTCACCCATGGAAGTTCGAAAGAACAGTCTTTGCCTTAGGATAAATCCCTGAAGGGTAGAGAGAGGTAGGATAGACCACTAGAAATGAAAATTACATGGAGGAAATGGTAAGAATGCAATTACATTGTGAGTACTGTAATCAATGTTCTAAAAAGTAAGTGTATGAAGAATAAAACTGCTTTGTAAACTTTCACTCAAATTACAATAAAAATTAATTATAATAGCAACAATATTGAGTGATTTCTATGTGCCAGACTCTTTTCTAAGCATATGATAGGGTTATTCATATAACCATAACTTTCCCCCATTTTTCAGAGAAGGACATTTTAGCACAGAGCCTTGAGACTCAGCTAACGTGCACAATCGCACAGCAAGCCAGTAATGGTGCCAGGAATCGAACTCAGGCACTCAAGTTCCAGAACTCATATCCTTAAGCCCTGTGTTATACTTTACTCCAAGATTCAATTATTTGAAAATTGATCATTATTATTAGGAGATAGAATTATCAATGCGTTAATTTCAGAAGAATTTAATTTTTTCAAATAAGATGCACAGCAGAAAAATGTATGATTTACACAAAACAAATTTACCAAGTCTGAAGTAATGATTACAGCAGCAATCTGTTGAATGAAGACAAGGAATTTTAATTTTAAAATTTTCACTTGTTTATTCCAAGGTCCTCAAGAGATCAAGGAGAAAAATGAATGAATGCATTATGTACTGATTATTGACTTTAACATTTGAGAAGCTCTTTGCTTTAGCAATTTCCATTATATTAAATGACAAACTGTGCTAATCAGAAATTGTCTTTCACTAATCTAGTTATTTACATATTCTTCAAAGAGTAAAGAGATGGAGTCATGCATAGTCATGAGTCACTGAATGAATGAGAGTGATATTTATCAGTTGAGAGTGATAAATTCCCATATTCTCAATCTGACATCTATTTGGCCAAGATTTCTCTCTGCATGTATGTGTGTGTGTGTTTGGTCAAATTGTGCAGATGGAGTTTATGTCATAATCCTTAGTTGGCAGAATTCACTGACAGAGAATGAAGGATAATTGATCATTCATTATTTAGATCTTTCTCCTTTACAATACTTTCTCCCTTTATAGTACTCATTTAGACTAAAACCATCTGGTGGCAACAGGAAGTTTTTGTTAAGATTAATTTTTATTCTTTGTATTGTTGGACTTTCACACAAGTTCCTGCAGGTAGCAGGCTTTTTTTTTTTAAGGATAGCATGATGCACTCAACTAAGTTTTTAAAAAAACATTTCTTTAACAATGAGGGAGTTTTTCTTTTTCTTTTCAAGGTGAAGAGTGATTTGTGGGGAGGGAATGGACAGGGACAAAGTGCAGCAATGAATGATTGGAAATAATAAGTCTTTGTAAACTGTCATTAAAATTAATTAAAAAAAAGAAATTAAAAAATTCTTTTTTATTTTGTTTTTTCAGTTTTTAAAAAATATTTTTATTGGTTTTCATATAATAATTCCTTTGCATTAGGTTATATACATACACTCTATTTTCTATTTTTTGTTGGTTTGCTTATAAAGTTTATATACATTGTGTTTCACACTATTTTTCATTCACATTGCGTTTCTTGCAAGCATTCTCCTGCATTATGTTTTATAATATTAATTACTATTGGACCATGTCCATAATTACCCTGTCTTTTTTGCCTGGATCCTTCCCATTTGCTTCCCTTCTCTCTCCAGTCACCAAACTGTGCAGCCCTGTGGTTTCGCACTTACCTGTCCTCACCCCTCCATAAAACATTTTGATGCAGAGAATTTATTTCTAGTTACCCAGTGCTCTTATTACCCTCAGGAACCAAGATTGAGTATACAAAAAAATGCCCATCTCTCTCCCTTGTAGCCACAGTTTGATTCAGGCTACCAGAGAAGCAACACCTTTGATTAGCAGTGCAACTCCTTACGGACTGTTACTGCTGTTGTTGTTGTTAGGTGTCATCAAGTCCAGTGTGGCCCATAGCAACCCAGTGAACAACAAATCTGAAGCCTGTTCTATCTTGTGCCGTCCTCACAATCCATGACAAACTTGAGCCCATTGCTGCAGTCGCTGTGTCAATCCACCTGGTTGAAGGTCTTCTTCTCCTTCACCATTCCTATACCTTTCCAATCATGATGTCATTCTTCAAAGAGTAACCTCTTCTAGCAGTATGGCCCAAAGTATGTAAGACAAAGCTTTAACATCTTTGCCTCCAGTGCACATTCTGACTGCACCTTCTTCAAGATGTGTATCGGTTTGTTTGTTTTTATTTTGGCAGTCAATGAGATTTTCAGCACTCCTCTCTAACACCATAGCTCAAAGGCTTCAGTTTTTCTTCTGTCATCCTTAGTCATTATCTGGCTGTCAGATGCACAGCAAGTGACAGAAAAAACCATGGCCTGAATCAGGCACACCTTAATTCTCACACTGACATTCTGCAGATTAATATTTTAGGATGTTTAGGAGAACAGTAGAAGGGTACACTGTAGGTGAAATTTTTGGCAGCAAACCAAAAGGTTGGATGTTCAAATTCACCAGTTTCTCTAAAAGAGAACAATCTGAGAGCCTTCTGTAAAGATTTGCAGTCTTGGAAGCCCAATGGGGCAGTACTGTTTTGTCTTACAGGGTTATTATGAGTCTGAATTGACTCCATGGCGGTGAGTTTAGGTGTTGAGTAGCCAACTTTCCCATCAGGAGACAATCAAGAGATTGAGTTTCACTGTAAAATTATTGCAGCTGCATTTGCCATTATGATGAAAGCCTTTGGTTCAAGCACAGGGCCTGAGAGAATTCTTCAAGTATCAGACTAATCCTAGTTCCAATTCAAATAAGTCCTTTTTTACAGAAGCCTCTCACTTCTTCATTCCATTTGGATTTTTTTCCTAAAGCATTGCAGAAGTTATTTTGCAAGTTTTAAATCTTCTGATCTGTAGATATAATTTGCATCTTTCAATTGCTTTCTATCCTTTTGCTGGTGTGTACTGCTTAGCATGCTGGCCCACAAACTAAAAGGTTGGCTGTTTAACTCCAGCCACTCTAAGGAAGAAAGATAAAACTCCTGTAAAACTTTACAGCTTTGGAATCCCTTTGGATGGTCATCATTATAAGTTGGAACTAACTCATCATCACTGGAAATTGTTTTTATTCTCTGTATGTAAAATCATTTTAATTGTTTCACAGATTGAAAATATAAACTGAAGCGCTGCCAAAAATTTCTTGTCCAATTACATATCTAAGACATACTAGTTTTTAAAAGTCTGTTCATCTGGCATTTTCTCTTTCCTCTAGTCAAAGTGGAAAAAAACTCCGTTAAGGGCTCTCTCTCTGGAAAAGTCAACCTACCCTGCCATTTTTCCACCATGCCTACCTTACCACCAAGCTACAACGCAACCAGTGAATTTCTTCGAATAAAATGGTCTAAGATAGAAGTGGACAAAAGTGGAAAGGATTTAAAGGAAACGACTGTTCTAGTGGCCCAAAATGGGAACATCAAGATCGGCCAGGATTACAAAGGAAGGGTGTCTGTTCCGACGCATCCGGAAGACGTGGGTGATGCCTCTCTCACCATGGTCAAGCTCCGCGCAAGTGACGCTGGTCTCTACCGCTGCGATGTCATGTATGGGATTGAAGACACGCAAGACACAGTGTCACTGGCTGTGGAAGGTAAGGCTTTTGGAATATATGTGTAAGGCCTTAGTGTAACAAGATACCTGATTCAAAAGCACTGTGAAGGGGGCATTAAAAAGTAAGTTTGTTATTTAGTATTTAGAAAAATGGGGGAGGGAAAGAATCACTTAAATCAGCACTCCATGTTTTTGTTATGCAGCTCTGGGATCATCAGAAGTGACTTTTTTTGTTTGAGTCTTAAAAATCAACCATATTGATTAAAGGTAGTAAAGGCTGTTATTAGGTCCCATCAAGCTGATTCCAGCTCATAGTGACCCGTAAATGACAGAGTAGAAGTGCCCAAAAGGTTTCTAGGCTGCTATGAAAGTATTTGGCAGCTAATCAAAATGTTGGAAGTTCGAATCCACCAGCTCCTTCAAAAGACAACAATTTGAAAACTTTCTGTAAAGATTTATAGTTTACAGGAGTAGATCCCTAAGTTCTTTTCTCCCACAGACCCTCAAGTGGATTTGAACTACCAACTGTTAGGTTAGCAGCTAAGCTAACTTAAGACCAGATACCATAAGAGATTCTTAAGTAAAGTATGTGTTACTGTGTGCCAAATGTACTGAAAATAATAAATACCTCAGAACATGATAAATGGTGCACTATTCATTATTTCAGCATTGAGATTAGCAATCTTTTCAATTCTATAAAGCCAGCTCAAGATTTTAAAATACTGATTTATTTATATGTCAACTTATTTTCTCATACTTTTAATAACATTTTTAAACCCTTTGACTTTGCTTTTGATATTAAAACTTCTATATGATATTGAAAAATCAAGGTATTTGAGTGATAATTACTATGATACATTTTAAATTGTCCATATTAAAGAATTACTGAGTTGGATAAAACAAAGAGTCTAGGACAGTGGTTTTTAAGGGTAAGGCACCTGTTGTTATCCATCAGGTCTTACAATGAGACATTTTAGTTGAGTTTCACATTATTCCCTGAGTGGTAGTTTATATGTCATTTGTATTTAAGTTAGGAAACAAAGCAAAGAAAAATTGCTTTAATTGGGTACACACGTAATACCATAGCTCTTGCAAGGATCTCATTTTGGCAAGTCATTAAGCAAAATTCTCACACCCAGACATGATGAAACAGATTTTCTTCCCCTCATCCATTTTTCTATAAAATATTTACCTTTCAGAAATATATCCATAGGATTTATGAAATCTCTTTCTTGTGTGGCCAAAAGTAAAGACATTATATTTCAGATGCAACAAATCAAACCTTTTACATCCTTTCACATTTAGATTCTATTTATTCCTTTTATAAATATATTTTTTGTTACCTGAGCATCCATTAAATATCCTGAGCTCATTTGAATTTTTTTTTTGGAAAAAAATATTTTTTATGACCTGAGAACGTTCTACTGTGATCTTTATTATTGTGAATATATACATATATAAATACATATTTAACTCTTAAGGGATTTACCAACTTCTTACATTTTTTGTTATTAAAGAATTAGCAATGGATTTGCCCCTTGTCCCTCTGAAACAATGAAAATCCTCCAGTTAATCTCCTTAGCCCCATGGGGTCTTCAAATCATTCCAACAATTACACATACTTATATATCCCTGCCTTGGTCATGGGGGCCCTTGTGTGCCTTTTTTTACCACCGATCTTTAGTGTACACGCAGGATTTTTAATTACCAAGGAGACTGTTTGAAGCTTTGATCAACATCAGTGAATTTAAAGCCACCGAGATTCTTGTTTAGGCCTTAGAGCTTTACAATAGACTTTCTCTCTTACTTACCACATAGCCTCGTACCCTTCCTGGCAAGTTTAGAAAGCTCTCTAAATGTAGGGATGCTGATCAGAGGTGCTTGTCTAGGCCTCACTAATACATGCCCTCCCCTCCCTCCAGTTACTGTATTGGCAAACATTTTTCCAAAAGGGAGCTCATGAAAGGATGGCAGTAGGGAAATAATTTTATAGTTCGAAGTCAAACTGTGGGTGATACTGGGTTATCAGCCCTAAGAAATTACTTGGAATACAAGGAGAATGGGAAAATGCCTTGGGAACCACAATTCATTACAAATAGTAACCACAACAAAGCCATCTTAAATAATTGGTAAGGATAATTTTAATCTCCATCCTAATAAAATCTCATTGTAAGACCCATTTCCCCCAATTTCCTCTTTCCTGTGGTTCCCCAAGCTTAACTAACCTTGTAGAAATAGTCACTCACTCACTTGTTGCCAGAGTCAGAACCAACTCATAAATAAATCTCCATTTAGCTTCCTACTTTGTCAACTGCGGAGAGAGTGCCAGTCTCTCTCGCTTGGAGCTTCTGGTGATTAGAACAGCCAGGGAGGCCCAGCCTTTGGTTTAGCAGCCCAGCTCCCTATTAATTGCACCACAGAGCTCCTTCTGTAGAAATGAAGCACCGTTTAGTGCACCAAAGGAGAGATGTTCTTATTGAAGTAGAAGAAAGCACCTAAACATCTCGCCAGTTCTGCTCTTTCCTCACCCCTTTAACAATGCCTAGAGCCTTGGAGACAAGTCCAGGAGCCCCTAAAACACAACAAAGTGGAATTTGAAGTCAGCACCTCGATATCTGGCTTCATACCAAGGGATTCCAGAGAACTTCATTTCAGGCCTTTCTTGAGACAAAAATCATACGTTTTATCTATCATAGGAAAGACCCTTAATTTTGCTGATGAAGTATTGATCATGATTGGGTATGATGTAGTAGCCTATGCAGCATTTCTACACCCTCTACTTAATTTGACCTTCACAGGAATCAAATAGCATAAACATTATTAGTTCTATTTTATAGGGAAGGAAGTGAAGGCATATGTGATTCAGGAACATAGTATGAATTGAAGACTTGTAATTCATACTGTTTTTGGTGATTTCTTGAATAATTAATCATTTAGGCATGAATCCTGAAAATGGTGGTAAGAATCCTGTGAGGAATGGCAGTGTCTTTTCCAGTCTGATATATCATCTCGAGGCTCCCAGGTGTAACAGAGGGTTTACTATCAGCAGCTAACATGATGGCTGGTGTTCCAAACCCACCGGGTGGTGCCGTGGAAGAAAAGCCTGCCAAATGTGCCTTCACAAAATTACAGTCAAAGAAACTGTGCATCAGTTTTACTCTGTAACACATGGGTTTCTTGTGAGTCAGATCTGACTTGACAGCAATGGCTTTTTGTTTTCAGGAGGTAAATACGTCATTGGTTTTTGTTTGGAAGAAAAGATGGTAGTAAAAGTTTATTTGAGACAAATAACTATTTCATGTTTCTATGGATTTGCCCTGGGCACAGTCATGAACCAGGGAAGTTCATCTTGTGACCCTCTTAAACCTTATTTTTTTCTGGAGCACCTACTCTTTTTAAGTGCCCAGAGTGACCATGATAAATATTTCCTGGGAGAAAGAACAACTTATGGTTAGACACTTGTTATGTACAGTGGGGTTAGAATCGATTCATACTTCACCCTCCAGTGGGTTTTCAGAGGAGATAAATCACATGGGAGGAAACTGACCATCTTTCTCCAGAGGAGAAGCTGGTGGATTCAAACCCTGTACCTTTGAGTTGGCAGCGCAACTCCTTACCCCTAAGCTGTGGCTAGCTATTTAGTCACTTAAGTCTCCTTCTTGAATTGTTTACATACTAACAGGTGATATCTGGAAACTTTCTGATGCAGAGGAATGGGAAGCATGAGTAATGGGCATTTTGTTGTTGTTAGGTGCCACTGAGTCAGAACCGATGCCAGCGGGTTTTCACATTGGAAAAGACGGCCTTTCTTTCTCCCATGAAGCAGCTGATGAATTCAAACCACGTGCCTTTGGTTTAATAGCACAAATCCTTACCACTAAGCCACGGGAGCTCCGTGATAGGCATATTGGAGCTCTTCAAATCAGCTAATGGTGATTTACATAATTTTGGCTTTGTTGTTGTTGTTATGTGCCATCGAGTCACCTGCATACAGAATAATAAAAAAAGAGTATATAAAATAAGTAAAAAGTTATCATGATGGTATTACTAGTTTTATAACTTTAAGAAATAAAAATTTTAACTTGGATATGGGAAAACAATAAGAATTGACTGCAGAATCAAACATTTGCAAAACAACGATCACTTTATCACAGTGGTACAAAATAGATCCAGCTTCAACAAATACTGAAAGACTCCCCCATGCATGACAAATATAAACACCTCTGCAAGTGTCTGCCTTTCCCAGATAGAACGACAGTTCTACGGGACATGATCAGGAAAACTAATTGTTTCCTATTTTTCTAAGTCATCTGTCTAATCGTGATGGTATTACTTTTCTAATTAATGCAATACATTTCTCTAGTGAGAAATTTTGTACAAGGTGGGAGATCTAAATATTCTCCTGACTGCTTGCTGGTGTCTTTGCAGGAGTTGTGTTCCACTACAGGGCTGCAACCAGCAGGTATACCTTGAATTTTGAGGCAGCAAAGGCGGCCTGCTTGAACATCGGTGCTGTCATCGCAAACCCAGAGCAGCTCCTTGCCGCCTATGAAGATGGATTTGAGCAGTGTGATGCAGGCTGGCTCTCTGACCAGACCGTTAGGTGAGAGGCCCGGGGGGGCCAGTAGACTTTATCACATTAATCAAATGTGAGTGAAAATGCCACTTAATATTCATATATTTTCCCAGATACCCCATCCGGACTCCCCGAGAAGGCTGCTATGGAGATATGATGGGAAAGGAAGGAGTCAGGACCTACGGATTTCGATCTCCTCTGGAAACCTATGATGTGTATTGCTACGTGGATCATCTGGATGGTAGGATGTTGACAGTTTTAGAATTTCTTTCGCATTAAGAAAATTTAGGAAGGGACACCTTGGACTGTTATAAATGCTTGTGTTTGTGTGGCTTCCAAACAGCAGCTTTTAGGCCCAATGGCCATATGATTCTGTGGTAAAATAGGCTTAAATTAAAGCAGAAGGCGAGGGAGGGGTGTGTAAATGGTTATGCAGATTTGAAATGTCTTCCAGTTAATGGCAGGTTTTCTTTCTTCCTGCTGCTTTTGGGCTGTTTCCAGTACACTTTTAGAGCATTAAGAATAGAAAGCTATAATAGGATGGCACCTATTCTAGTGAGAACTCCAGATAAAAAAGCCTGTAATGACAATCTATTTGAGAAGCCAAGTACTGATATTTGCAATGAAAAAATTAAACTCCTCAAAGTTCAACTGCGTAATGCTGCAAACTAGCGCAAGAAAGATTGGAATGTTTCACATCTCCTTACATCCATTTTGTTGCAGCAATGTGCAAAGGGATCATTTATTTATTCAATCTATTAATACATTAGAAGTACACTTACTGATAGGTACTCTCCTAAATCAAACCAAGCCCATTGCTACTGAACCAAGTCCGACTCATAGTATTGGATTTCTAAGATGCCCTGTCTTTGTCCTGCAGAACAGCAGGTAGATTTGTATCATTGATCATTCAGTTAGCAGCCCGACACTACATCGGTCAGTCTCCTTAGAGTCTCTGCTGTTGTTATGTGCTGTCAAGTTGCCTGTGACTCATAGCAACCCTATATACAACAGCTCTGAAGCCTACTCTATCTTGAGTCAACCTTATTGTCTCTAACACACTTACACCCATTGCCCCAGTCACTGAGCCAGTCCTTCTCATTGAGGGTCTTTCTCTCTTGCGCTGTCCCTCCACCCTCCCAAGCATGATGTCTTCTCCAAGGACTGGTCCCTCCTTGCAAAATGTCCAAAGTATGTCAGACAGAAGTTCAGAATCCTTACCTCCAAGGAGCAACATGGCTTCACCCTCTCCAGGATTAACCAGTTTTGTTCTCCTGGCAGTCCATAGTATATTTAGTACTCTTCTCCAGCACCATAGCTCAAAGGCATCAGTTCTCTTTCTATCATCCCTAGTCATTGTCCAGCTTTCTGATGCATGGCACATAACTGCAAGGACTGTAGCTTGGATCAGATGCACCTTAGGCTTCAAATTGACATCATTGCTCTTCAGTACTCTGTAGTATTACTAATCTGTAGTCCCTGACAGCAGACTTTCCCAGTGCAGTTCATCTTTTGATTTCCTGGATGCTAATGCCAAGAGCAGGAGTGGCATCTACTTTCTAAATAACATGCCTCCGGAAACTCTAAGAACTTTTATATATATTGATAGTTGTAGAAGGGCTTCAGGCCTTTCGTTTACAGGGTCACTATGAGTTGTGCTTGACTCAAGCAATCAACAACAACAGTACCGAAAGTGTTGATTATGGAGCCAAGAAAGCTAGAACCGTTAACAATCTCAATCTCTTCACCATCATGATGTTGCCGGTTGGCCCAGTAGTGAGAATCTTTGTCTTCTTAATGTTGAGCTTCAGTCCATATTGAAGGCAGCAGTCCTTGACCTTCTGCAGCAAATGCTTCAGGTCCTCCTCAGTTTCATCAAGCAAGGTTATGTTATCTGCATAATGCAGATTGTTAATGTGTCTTCTTCCAATCCTAATGCCACATTCGTCCTCACAGAGCCTAGCCTCCTAGATGATCTGTTTCGCATATAGATTGAAGAAGTTCTCTACTAGTCACTACTAATAGGAGGATGAGGCCAATACTGTGTAGGTCATGCTAGTTACTATGTAGCTCTTGCTTTCAAAGTACTTGGAGTTCAGTTGGCTTTGCCACCTCTTTGTAAACCAAGACACTGCTGTTGTTGTTGTTGTTGTTGTTATGTACTGATGAATTGCCTGTGACTCATAATGACCGTATGTATAACAGCCCTAAACCCTACTCTATCCTGTGCCAATCTCACTGTCTCTAACACACTTATCCCAACTACCCCAGTCACTGAATCAGTCCTCCTCATAGAGGGTCTTCCCCTCCTGCGCTGTCCCTCCACCCTCCCAAGCATGACGTCCTTCTACAAGGACTGATCCTTCCTCGCAACATGTCCAAAATATGTCAGATGAAGCTTCAGCATCCTTGCCTCCAATAAGCAACCTGGTTTAACCCTCTCCAGGATGAACTTGTTCTCTTCGCAGTCCATGATACATTCAAGACTCTTCTCCAACACCACAGCTCAAAGGCATCAATTCTCCTTCTCTGATCCCTAGTCATTGTCCAGCTCTCTGATGCATAGCAAGTGATTGCAAATGGCCTGTATCAGGTGCATCTTAGTCTCCAGAGTGACACCATTGCTCTTCAGTAACTTTAGAGAGGTCCCTAACAGCAGACTTTCCCACTGAAATACGTCTTTTAATTTCCTGGCTGCTGGTGCCAAGAGTGTTGACTGTGGAGCCAAGCAAACTACAGTTGTTAACAATCTCAATCTCTTCACCATCTATCCTGATGCTGCCAATCGGCCCAGTGGTGAGAATCTTTGTCTTCTTGATATTGAGCTTCAATCCATATTGAAGGCTGCAGTCCTTGATCTTCTACAGCAAATGCTTCAGGTCCTCCTCAGTTTCAGCAAGCAGTGTTGTGTCAGCTGAATAACACAGATTGTTGATGAGTCTTCCTCCAATCCTGATGCCACACTTCTCATATAGTCTAGCCTCTTGGATAATGTGTTCTGCATATAGGTTGAAAAGGTATGGAGATAGGACACATCCCTAGCTATTTTAATTTGTATCTAGCAACAAAGAGAAAACATATACAAGCTAAACTGTGGTTACTATGAATAAAACCAGATCTTTTATCTTTCCTTTATTTTGAGTTTTATTGACTCGTGGAGCACTCTGGTTATAGGAAGTGCATTTGGCTATTGCTATTTCTGGAGTAGCAAACCAAAAGAACAGACAAATCCATTATAGAAGAAATACAACCAAGGTGCTCCTTAGAAGCAAAAATGCTGCAACTTTGTCTCATCTACTTTGAGCATGTTGTCAAGAGGGCCAGCCATTGGTAAAAGATCTCATGCTGTTTTGAAAGGTAGTGGGTCAACAAAAGAGAAGACTCTCAATGATATGATTGTGACACAGTGACTGCCACGGTGGGCTTGAGCATGGCAAGGGTTATGAGGATAGTGCAAGCTTTCACTTTGTGGTCAAATAGGGTCACTGTGAGTTTGTAATCAACTTGACGATGGTACCTAACAACTTGAGTGTGTCAGAGATTGTGAGGATGGCTTGGAATAGGGCAGTGTTCAGATCGGTTGTTCACAGGGTCACAATGACTCATGCTCAACTGGATGGCACCTAACAACAATAATAACACCATTTATGTAAGGTGGAAACTTCCATCACTATTGCCTTAATTTAGAATAATATCCATCAGAGTTATACAAATTTATGGGATGCTAGTAACGCTGCACTTGAGCCAGAGGTACTTGCTGAGGAATTATATGTGAGATCTTTACCAAATGGTGGCTTTCAGGTACAATTCCATGATGTGATTAAACTGTGAGTAAGATCCTAAGCCAGTATGGAAAGCCAGAATTATGTAATCAGGACACCTTTATCTTTCCTACTAGGCTTTAGTTCCTGGGAGAAAAGGAATCAGGAGTATTCTTCTGTGTATCCCTACTATGCCCTTAGCACATAGTAAATATTCCATGGGTACAGTGAGTCAATTCATGAATTGACCTCCAAATTTTAAGTGCTCGTCAGCCTGTTCATCAGCCTATCCCGGCTATTCCAATAATTGTTATCTCCTCACTCTGAACTCCCAGTTTTCTCAGCTTAGTTCTACACCTTTTAGTTTTTAATTGTTTTCTGTAGCTATTGTCATTAGGTGATGTAAGGTGACTATGACTCTTAATGAAATTATGAACAACAATGTCTATGAACAACAAGTGTCTAAATCTTTTTTTTTTTTTTTTGGTGATCCCACTGTGGCTCGAACCCAGGACCTTCTGTGTGTAAATCTTGTCATATCCTCTGCCATCTTCATAATCTCTCATATGTTCAAGTCCGTTGTTACAGTTAGTCCATCTTGTTGAAGGTCTTCCTCTCTCTCAAACACTCCACCTTTCCAATCATGATGTTATTTTTAAAAGACTGGCCTTTCTTGACAATATGCTTAAGTATGTGAGGGGTGGTCTTGCCATCCTTGTCTCTAAGACGTACCTTGGCTGTACGTCCTCCAAGACAGACTTGTTCATTCTTTTGGCAGACCATGGGGTATTCAGTACTCTCCTCCATCACCACAATTCAAAGGCGTTGGTTCTTCTTTTGCTATCCTTATTCATTTCCCAATTTTCAAATGCATAGGAAGCGATTGAAAAACCATGGCTTTAATCCTTTAAGTTGACAACCTTGCTCTTTAGAACATTGGAGATGTCCTTGAAAGTAGATTTTCCTGTGCAACACGTCTTTTGCTTTCTTGACTGCTGCTACATTGGGTGTTGATTCTGGATGTAAATAAAATGAAATCATAGATAATTTCAAGCTTTTCTCCTCCTATCATGGTATTGTCTAATGACGTAGTGAGAAGAATTGGTTTTTTTTTGTTTGTTTGATGCGGAACTGTGATCCATATTAAAAGCTGTATATAATCTTTGATTTTCTTCAGTAAGTGTTTCAGGTTTTCTTCACTTTCTGCAAGCAAAATTGTGCAATTTTAATCACGTAGATTGTTGATGAGTCTTCTACTCCGGATGCCATATTCTTCATCATGTAGGGTTGCTTCTTGAATTATTTGGTTAGCTCACAGATTGAATAGGTACAGAGATAAGATACAACACAGACACACACCTTACCTGATTTTAAATCATGCATTGTTTCCTTGTTCTGTTCAGACAACTGCTTCTTGGTCTACGTGTATGTTTCACATGAACACAGTTAAATATTCTGACATTCCCCTTCTCTTAAATAT